GCAGTATTCAGCCGTGTGCAATCGAGTGAACAGCAGAGGACGGCCAGCATTCGAGGGAGGAAGGGGACACGGACACACCGCTCAGAGGAAGGGAGACAGCTTTCGTAAGTGGAAAACAAGCAGGACAGGATTTTCGCAGGAGGAGGGTCTTGGAGAATTTCAGACTTGTTAAACTGCGAATAACGGGTACTTAGCTGTTCAAAACCAACTCGAGGGTTCAGGATACTAGCGTACACATCGCGGTGCTCGATTTTCCCGTTCTTTCATCAACTTCGAACCATAACCTATTATCGGAAGGCAAAGTCACACTTGCCTACTGTCCACATACCGTTGTTTGTAAAGCCTATTCGCTCCGGTCTTTGTTTTCACCTAGAGCCGCCCTTCGGAGTTTCGAGTGTAACGCGGTTAGACCGCCTTTGATCTTTTTGCCGTGCTTTGGACTCAACAGGGACCTTTTTTATCTCCTCCATCTTTTGCTGCGCTACAAGAGTATGCTTCTTGGAGGGATAACACACTGCCGATTATTTATTTTATACCCCGACTTTGAAGGTTTATTAGGTAGCCCTTCTTTATGGGAAGGCTCTATCTCTGTGTTATTGAAAATTGCTGCGAGACTTTTTACGATGTTCAACAGTTTTTTTCTAATTTTCTAACTTGAAGTGTTTTGATCTCCGAAGACCTCTGATGTTTTGTTCTTGAGTTGGCCATTGTCATTTTAGAGTTGATTGTTATGCCTATTCGGATCAGGAGTCTTTAGTTATAGTCTATTGCCTAGGTTAACAATGCCCAAACTTGACCAGAACGACTTCTTTTGTCGAAATGTAAAAATTTAATTTAGCTAATGGCGGCTCTCTGCTGCGAACATAGCGTCTGTTCGGCATGCACCGAGACTCAGTAAACATTTGTCTGAACCCTTCAACCTGTCTTTGGCCGTCACAAAACCGTCTCAATTTCGGTTACAGTTTTGATTAGCGTCTGTGAATTGCCTTCAGAATACTTCGCACGTATATTTTCAACTTTCAAATTAGGTAAACAAATCATACAAGCAACGTTTATCTTTTTGCATCAGTCTGGGTGTTCTAGTCTGGTTAACTACGTGATCAACCCCTGGTGTAGCCACTTTTTCTCGAGAGCATGTGGAGCATGGCGGATACGTCTACTTTCTTTACAGCAGTCACTGCCCTATCACGACTGAGCGCATATACACACTCAACTTTGTTCGTTTCTGTCGCCTTATGGACTACCAACTGATGTGATATTCAGTTGACCCAATTTTGAAAAAAATTCGCGGCCTCTGGGATTCGAACCCACACAGCAGGGAAGGCTTTTGCGCAGTCATAGCTCTACTGTTAAGCTACAAAAACACATTGAAGCCTCGAGTTTAATCAAATTTGGGTCGATTTACCCGCCCAGCCTACTGCTCGTATGGTATCCGCAATTATGGATAGAGTAAGCTGACTGCCCTGGCATACCTTCTTAGCTCAATGGTAGAGCGTTTGCTGGGCAAATTCGACTGCTACCGAGGTCGCGAATTTTCCCCATTTGGGTCAACTGAATTATTCAAATCTGCCCACCTCCCCCCCCTAACAATAATGTGATATTGTCTAGAGTAGTAGTTACTACTGCATATTTTC